GCGCCCCTGATCCTGACTGATGCCTTCGAATCCAATTGGCTGATTTCTGTTAAGCGGAAAATTTCGCTCTTGGGGTATTCTCCCTTAGCGCTGCTGGAGATGGGTAGGGACCGAGCTAAGTTAGAAATTAGACAGACGATCAAGGATACCGAACACCAATTTGATCTACAGGTGTCCCCAACATTTATAGCGCCAATTAGTAACAAATACATCGTTGCGCAGGCCCCATATCTTAAAGTTTTGGAGTCCCGTAAACTCAGGAGGGCATATACACTGGCTAGATGCTCGGCCTTACCCTCTGCAGTTCTCGAGGGTAAATTTAAAAAAATTCCCCGATCGGAGAGGCTATGCTTATGTACATTGGGGGAGATCGAATCCCAGGAACACATGTTCCTGAGATGCCCGTTATTTGAAGAGGCTCGTGCTAAACTTATTAATCCCCTTCTGGCAGGCACTTCGGATCAGGACAAGATGGAGAACTTGTTTCTTAATCTTGAACATACAGCCCTCCATCAGATCGCGAAATTTTGTTCCTTGGTGGTAGAAGTGCATCAGGAGGATGGTTGTCACTAGGGCCAGGACTGTTTGATTTTAACTGGTACCGTTCCTTTTGGTACTATATTTTATTCTTTTATACTGTGCTTTATGGCAGCGTATTTACAGTTTGGTCTTTTTACCTTGTTGAATTTCGGAAATTTTACTATCTGGCCATTGTAACTTATTTATTCTGGTTTTATATTGCTGGCTAATCGCTGTTACAATAAATTCATTCATTCATACTGCATAAATTAGTTTGCACTGGAGCCCTCCTTCTTGAGCTAAGACAAAAATGTGTGAGCCGGAGGCTAAAAACCTGTGAGCTAGCTCACATTAACTCAGCTTAGAGGGAACAATGCCCCTAGCTCTTTTTCTACGAAACGACCCCTGGCGGTAACCGAGCATGTGTGACAGGCCTTCAACACTGAGTAACTTCGGCCTCTCAATAAATCTGGCATCGCATCGTTCGCACATGATTGTGCATCAGTTTATGCTTTAGATCAGGGGTGTCGAATTCATTTGTTACGAGGGCCGGATCTGACATAAATGAGATTTTGTTGGGACGGGCCATGTGTGTCATAAAATGTAATGCCAGGTAGCGGAGATATCAACGTTATAAAGGACACAAACACAAAGCTTTTTTTTAAACTTAAAATTAAAACATGCTTAAAACATTAGCTCCGTAAACTGCAAATCTACTTTTGATTTATTGACATTCACCACAGAAATCTCAATCTCAGAGTTCTGAGTCTAGGACCCAGGTTAAAACGTGAAATGGCCGAGTGATTAAGAGAGTCTGGTGAAGCAAGCTATGATGTAGCAGCAGCAGCAGAGCTGGAAGCAGGAGACTGCCAATTCCACTGCGGGCCTGATGGAAGCCCTCCGGGGGCCTGATCCGGCCCCCGGGCCACATGCTTGACACCCCTGCTTTAGATCCAGGTAGCTGTGTTGGTCTGAAGCCGTGGGCACCTTAAAACCAACAAAGGTTTATTCAAGGTATGAGCTTTTATGTGCAGGCACACGTTATAATCTGTTTGATAAAGTGTGCGTGCACACGAAAGCTCTTAACTTGAATAAACCTTTGTTGGTCTTAAAAGTTTATGCTTTATTCACACATAACTGTGCATCTGATGAAGGGAGCTTTGACCCTTGGAAGTTCATCCCTCCCCCTCAAAAAATCTCGTTGGTCTCTGTTGATAGACTGGGAATGTGCGTCGGTTGGTTAGTATTTGGATGGGAGACGACCGAGGAAGTCCAGGGTCGCTATGCAGAGGCAGGCAATGGCCAACCACCTCTGAACATCTCTTGCCTTGAAAACCCGACGGGGTCACCATAAACCGGCTGCAACTGGAGGATGCTTTATACTCGTGTGCGCGCGCGTGCACACACACATAATCCTGTTGCATTATTTGTTGGATGTCTTATGCTGTCGAAATGCATCCTCTTTATATCTCGTAATCCACCTTGACTCTCAGAGAGGGGGTGTATAAATAAATAAATAGCCTTGCTGCAACGGATTAGCAGGGCTACTCCTCTGGAATGAAAAGAAATGAGGATCTGGGATCCACAGCAACACCGGACACCCTTTAATAGCTCACATTTTTCCAGCTCTTCCAGACAGGGTCAAGGCTGAATAGCTTGTTATTTATTTTTAACTTTAACCTATGGCATGCATGCAGTACCCCCAAAGGATAGATGGTTTTTATTTTTAATTTGTGTGCGACTTGGGCGCTCAGAGGGCTAAGGGGGATCCAAGCAATTGGGAGCAAACCTTGTGTCAAGCAATGGCTCGCTGTGGCAAAGGAGACCAAATTAGAACCCTTGGGCATTTTTAAGACAGAACAACTGCAGCGGTTGCCAAGTTGTGGTAATAAAGTACGGAGGCCAGTGTAGACAGACTGGGACAGGCCAGGGGGTGAGGTCTGGTGGTTTATTTATTCCCAGAGAATGTGCTGTAAAGTGACACCACACCAACCATAAAGCAAAGGGAACTAGCTGCTTGCATCACACAGAAGATGCAAGGGAGAGGGCAGCTTTAGATTGTGGCCTGAAAAAAACCTGGCTTTCCACCCTTCTGTCTTATTTAAGCTTTGTAACATCCGGCCTGATGAAGTGCTCCGATGGGCCTGAAAGCTCACCGAATGCTTGGTGTCAGGTTGGTTGGCTGTCTTAAGTCTTGTGTGCATTTTGTTCTGGCGTTGGGATTCTGCACATGGACCAATATGACTGTCCAACGTTTGGCTACTCTCTTTATTGATCCCATCCAGGACTTTTTTTGTAGAAAGAGCCCAACAGGAACTCATTAGCATAATAGGCCACACCCAACACCAGACACTCATTAGCATATTAGGCCACACCCTTGACAGCACAGCATATTAGCATATTAGGCCGCACCCCCGTGTTGCCAGAAGTGTGGTCATCCAGCTACACCCACCTTTTGCTTCTTATTCTGTTTACCTTGTTTGTTGTCAAAACCCAGGGCTTTTTTGTAGCAGGAACTCCTTTGCCTGTTAGGCCACACACCCCTAATGTAGCCAATCCTAATGAGTTCCTGCTGTTGGGTGTGGCCTATTATGCTAATGAGTTCCTGCTGGGTGTGGCCAA